AAGATGCACTGATAATTATTAGTGATTGAATTCAAAAGTTGGAAACAAAGAAGGATCTGTAGTTGGAAAATATGGCCTTGGTGATAGAAATGACGCTGGAGACTGCGTAACAGAATTTTGCAAGACCAATGACTTATTCCTTGAAATACCTTTTTTCAACAACATAAACAGTGACTATACACGTGGACCTCATCAGATGGAAAACACAGGAATCAAATCAACTACATCTGTGGAAAGAGACGATGGAAAAGCTCAATATCATCAGTCAGAAAAAGGCCAGGGGCCAACTGTGGAACATACCATCGACTGCTTACATGCAAGTTCAAGTTGAAGCTGAAGAAAATTAGAGCAAGTCCACTAGAACCAAAATACAACCTTGGGTATATTCCACCTTAATCTGAAGACCATCTCAAGAACAGGTTTGACACAATGAATACTAATGACCGAAGACGGATGAGTCTTTGGTCATTAGAACATCATAGGACATCAAGGACATCACACATGAGGAAAGCAAAAGGTCATCATACATGAAGACATCAAGGACATCATACATGAAGAAAGGACATCATATATAAAGAACATCAAGGACATCCTACATGAAGACAGCAAAAGGTCATTAAAAAGACAGGAAAGAAAAAAAGACCAAAATGGATGTCAGAAGAGACTCTGAAACTTGTTCTTGAAGGTAGAGTAGCTAAAGCAAATGGAAGCTATGATCACATAAAAGAGCTGAACAGAAGATTTCAAAGGGCGGCTCGAGAAGACAGAGTAAAGTATTATAATGAAATGTACAAAAATCTGGAGTTAGAAAACCAAAAGGGAAGAATGCACCAGCACTTCTCAAGCTGAGAGAAATGGAGAAAAAATTCAAGCCTCGAGTTGCAATTTTGAAGGACTCTATGGGCAAAATATTGAATGACCCAGAAAGCATCAAAAGAAGATGGAAGTAATACACAGAGTCACTATACCAACAACATAAACAGTGACTATACACGTGGACCTCGCCAGATGGAACACACAGGTGTGCCTGATCCAAGTCATGGTGCTTTCAATCGCCTCACGTGCATCTGAAAGCTGGACAATGAATAAGGAAGACTGAAGAAGAATTGATGCATTTGAATTACGATATTGGCAAAGTATGATGAATATACCTTGGACTGCCAGAAGAATCAACAAATCTGTCTTGGAAGAAGTAAAGCCAGAGTGCTCCTTAGAAGCAAGGATATCGAGACTTCATCTCACATAATTTGGACATGTTATCAGCAGGAACCATTCCCTGAAGAAGGACATCACCCTTGGTAAAGTGGAGAGTCAGTGAAAAAGAAGACCCTCAATGAGATGGATGGATACAGTGGCTGCACCGATGGGCTCAAGCATAACAATGATTGTGAGGATGGGACAGGACTGGGCAGTGTTTCGTTCTGTTGTACACAGGGTTGCTATGAGTCAGAACCGACTCAGCGGCACCACCACCACCAACTGTACCAAAAAGAATTGGCTGGCGTTCAATCATTTCAGGAGGTAGCATATGAACAAGGACTGATGGTACTAAAAAAGAAGTTCAAGTTGCACTGAAGGCTTTGGTGAAAAACAAGATTCCAGGAATTGACAGAATACCAGTTGAGATGTTTCAACAAATGGATGTAGCACTGGAAGTGCTCATTCATCTATGCCAAGAAATTTGGAAGACCTGGCCAATGGACTGAAGAGATCCGTATTTGTGCCCATTCCAAAGAAAGGAGATCCACCAGAATGTGGAGTTATGGAATAATTATCAAATTGAAGGCTACTTCTTTGAAAATGCAAGTCTAAAATAAACAATCTTCTTTTTTCCATGCCAGTAATTCTATTTCAAGTATCTCTTAAATACCCTTCTAAATTTTCTGTTCTTTAGCCTTTGCTTCAATCATTAGGGATGTACAAGTTTATTTACTAGTTTTTGCCCATGACCTTAAAAGTTTATCACCTTTAATTACATCAAACATTTCAATTCTCATAAAGCATAATTTGTTTCTAAAAGACTTTATTAATTATATATCAACCATTTTGAATACATAAAAACACACATACATACACACAAATAATGAGTCTTTGGCTGATAATCCTCTCCAATAGATGTTTGAGTTTTCAAATAATTTACCTTCTTAGAAACTTAAGAAGTTTTAAATCAATAGAATAGTCTTAAAAAATGTAAAATTATGGATTCAAATGAGATTATTTCATTCTGAACAAAAGAAATAAAATGCTACACCATTATATGAGGAGTGAGGTAAGATATGTATGAAAATAGAGAAATAAATAGCAATATTATTTAGAGATCATAGGCTATTCATAACTGTACTGTAGAAACCACATTTAACTCTACTTTTCTGAGGTAGAGTTTCTATCATGGAAGCAATCTAGAGTCACTAGAATCTCAGATTCAATCATACATTTGCTGTTAGCCAGTGTCCATGTATTACATTATTCCTATCAAGCACGGAGAAAAAAAATTGACATAATTTTAGCAAACCATTTCCTCTTCACCAGCTCCCATCTACCATTATTTTTCTCTCTTTTTTTTTTTTTCTGCCATGATAAGATGGCAGAAAGAAGGATTTAATAGACCCTCACAACAGTATCTCCAAACCCAGAGGGATCTTCTGAGCTGGAAACATATATTTCACATCGCCCATTTATGCCTGGCACAGGTAACACTGAGAAGCGATGGAAGATGAAGAAAGTAAAGAACATTTAAGAGAGAGACAGATAATAAATAGCACATGCAAATGCTCGGTGGTTCAAAGAAGCAAAGAATGTTCAAAGCTAAGCTTGACTTGAGAGGCCACTGGAGCTAGAAAGCAAAGAGGGAAGTGGGAAAATCTAGACAACCAGAAGACACTTGACCTTGCAGCCCAGGTAAGGATTTCAATTATGATTCTAAGAGCAATGGGCAAGTGGCTACTATTCTCCTGGCCCTCCCAGCCTGGGTAAGGGATCATCTTCTCTCTGACATTCCCTGAGAGCCTCCTGCCACACATTTAGGATCAGGAAACCCTGGTTGAGATTGGGAATCCCTGGCAATGGCAAACATTCAATAAATGTTCACTCCATCAGTGAATAAATGAATGAGTAAAACACGTGAGACAGTTTTTTTCCACTATATGTTTCCACTAGTATGTTTTTGTCACTTTCAAGAATTCATCACCGAAGATATCCTTCCTGAACTGAATCCTATTTGCTCTTGATTGTGTCTCTGCCCGTAATTAGCATGAAGGACTTTGGAAAGAAAGAGCTGTATGTGATCTACCGTCCATAAACCAGGTCAATCCCAGCCCAATGGTTCACACCACAGCAACCACTTCATTCTGAACATGGCCGACTCAGCAAGCAACACTGCCATCTCAGGTGATAGGTATTCTGTTGAACTTCACTAATTCAACTTCATACAGGAAAAGTCACTTGGAATCCATGAGATGAGTGAAAAAGACAGTTGTTTTGGTTTGTTTACAATGAGAAATGCAACCTTCTTCCTCGAAAGCATAAGATACAGCACAACCAAAGGCTAACGAAAGGTTGCAAGTAGAAGCTTTATTGTATTTGTTTTATAAACCAATAGTGGGGCCTGATTTACACAAGATAATAAGTATACTTTTTAATTAGCCCATCTTAGTTATCTAGTGCTGCTATAACAGAAATACCACAAGTGGAAAGTTTTAACAAAGAGAAATTTATTCTCTCACAGTCTAGTAAGCTAGAAGACCAAATTCAGGGTGCCAGCCCCAGGGGAAGGCTTTATCTCTCTGTCAGCTCTGTAGCAAAGTCCTTGTCATCAATCTTCCCTTGTCCTAGGAGCTTCTCTGCACAGGAATCCCAGGTCCAAAGGATGCGCTCTGCTCCCAGCACTGCTTTCTTGGTGGTATGAGGTCCCCACTCTCTGCTTGCTTCCCTTTCCTTTTATCTCTTGTAAGATAAGAGGTGGTGCGGGCCACAATCCAGGGAAACTCCCTTTACATTGGAGCAGGGATGTAACCTTAATAAGGGTGTTACAATCCCACCCTAATCCTCTTTAACATAAAATTATAATCACAAAATGGAGGACAACCACACAGTACTGGGAATCATGGCCTAATCAAGTTGACACGTCCTTTGGGGGGACACAGGTCAATCCATGACAGCCCCCTCTTCATTGAATAAGTGGGAATACATGGCTAAAACCTGCTTAAAGTTACATCTATGTTATATAGTTACTTTTTTAATGCAAGCATACAAAATTACAGTACAAGGTGACTTCAATACTGTGGCAACTGGATATTCATTAATGCCACAATAATGATATTTTCCTAAAGTCATCATTTTGAGATAACGGAGATGCCTATCTCATGCTTAAGTGAGTGAGATGAAGCTGAATGCAAATAATCAGTTTCCTTTTCACATAAATATTCAAGTCTTTAAACCCCTTTGCCACTGAGTCAATTCTGACTCACAGTGACCCTAAAGGACTGAGCAGAACTTCCCCATATGGTTTGCAAGGCTGTAAATCTTTACGCAAGCAGACTGTCCCATCTTTCTCCTGTGGGGCAGCTGGTGGGTTCAAACCACCGACCTTTTGGTTAGCAGCAGAGCGCTTAACCACTGCACCACCAGAGCTCCTTACTCAAGTCTTCAGTGAATGAAAAAGTATCAAATGGCATGGTTTCTGTGTCAAAGCTGAGATTTCTGCAGCAAAATGCTTTTTTAAACTAGCATAACAATGTCGCATTTCATTGTGGTAGAAAATTAATCAAGAAAATATACATACAACCCTCATTTACTGAATGCTCAAATACATGTCAATCAATTTTTTTCCATGACATAAAAAATGATGTTTTATTCTTATATTTCCTAAGCAACTCTATCTTGCATAAAATTTATAAGTTGATAAAGCAAGAGAGAAAAGTATACTGAAATCCTGTGAAGTGAATGAGCCCTACCTATAACTAAAATGCATTCCATTTCATTGAAATAGCTGTACTGCTCACCAGAGAGGCCATGGTGAATCCAATAACTTCTATATAGCCATCATCATGACGCTGAGGTTCAAAATCATGGTGATCTCCTGGATTTCCCCAGGGCATTGTGCCAGCACAATATCTGCAAGATAAGAATAAAATCAGAATTACATTCATTCTTCACTTATCCACATGGTTAGGTTTCAAAGACCAGGTCGTTATACAAAATCGGTGTTATGTGAAAATGGAGGATGATCACATCAGATCACAAAATGGAGGATGACTACATCTTTACATACCTGCCAAATTACATCATTACATAACTGCCAAACCACTGAGAATCATGGCCTAGCCAAGTTAACACATAACCTTAACCATCACAGCCAGCGTTAGTCTCACCTCACACCTCGGCATTCATTACTGCCAGACGTACGTTGTTAATGTGCAAAAGAGTTGGATAGTAGAATTTTTACTATTGTCATAAATGAAAAATGTTGGATAACAAGATATTTGATAAGTGAGGAGTAGGTGTATATTTATTTCACTCTTCTCATAATTATCAGTAGGAATTACATTTGCAGTTAGACTCAACGTTTATACAGTAAAACCTGTGACAGCCAGAACCTGTGTAAGGTAGAAACCTGTCAGAGAAGGAAAACTCAAATATTTTCCACTAATAGAGAGCAATAGAAAAGTGGTAAGACTTCACCCTGTCAAAGGCGCAAAACTTGCGAGACCCAGAAAAACAAGGTAGTCCTGTCAAGTTCCGGCTTTCACAGGTTTCACTGTATAAAATAAGAACAGTTCTCGGTCCTTCATGCTCACCTTCAAATAGACAAGAAAATGGTTTTATCATAATCTCCAAAATACTGGCTAGTAACAACGGAACATAATTTTACAACAAAAGCACCCCGTTGTGGTGTCCAACTTCCTCCTCATTCACTACTTATCAACATTGCTCACTCTAAGATTCACATATGACTGCTTTCTATCCTATGCCATGAGCTATCAATAGGTAGAATCAGAATTTGGTCTTGGGGAAAGACTTGTTTTACATGCTAGTAGAAAAGAGACATGAGATGGTAAACATTAAACATTCCATACATCACTAAGCTAATAAGTACCCACAGGGGAAGAGAAAGTCCACTGAGAAGAAAGAAGGAAGAGAGGATGAAGAAGTACAGTAAAACCTGTGACAGCCAGAACCTGTATAAGGCAGGAATCTGTCAGAGAAGGAAAACTGAAATATTTTCCACTAAAACGAGTGATAGAAAAGTGGTAAGGCTGCACTGGGTCGAAGGGGGAAAACTTTCGAGACCTGGAAAACCAACGCAGCCCCATAGAGTTCCGTTCTGGCTCTCACACGTTTCACTGTATGCTAGATTAGAAAGGGAAGGAGAAATAAAGGAAATTGCAAAAGCAGAGGAAGGGGGATCCAGAGGGGCAGAAGGGAGGGAGCGGGAAGAAAAAGAGAAGACGGCCAGAAGAGGAAAAAATTAAAGAAGGTTAATAAACATTTCCTCGAATCTAGGCCTTCTACTCAAAACAACCAAACTGGAAATACTTCTGGGATAGGAGAGTAACGGCCAAAAGTGAGCAGGGGACTGCGCGATGGTCTCCAGCCACAGATTTACATGCAACTTTCATTTCAATCCACTTCAGCCTAAATGGCTCATAGTTGCAGATTTTGTGTCTGAGTTGCCTGGTGTGCAGAAAACAAAAGGTCACACATCTACTCCTCCAAAAGCGTGGTGTGGGAAACGCCTATCTAATTTTACGCTGCTGAGATAATGCGCTTATTTTGAGACAACTTAATCCTAAATCTCTCTTTCTTCTGAGGTATACAATAGCACCAAAGGGAGCTGAAACCTAGCTACAACGTGCTACTCTAATCCATGCTATTTTTTCAAAGACAGTCATCTGGTAACTCTTTGGAATGAATTCCACACTCAAATCAGGCTGGATGGCTTCCTAACAAAGCAAAAGGAGTCTTTTGGGAAACGGAGACCAGGAATTTATTCAAGTCCGCCATTCCTGTGGGCAACAGTCAATGAAAATTAAACGTGAGTGCTACAATCAAAAGGATGCCTGGATTTCTTAAGGAACATAGGAACCACACACCATCAAGACCACTCAGTGAACCAAGGATGGGGACAGAATCATCAGACCTGGAAACCCTGAATAACTGATTTTCATTGTTTATGAAAACAGATCACCTCAAATCAAACCAGAGTTCACATCAAACGAAGGCAACCAGATGAACAGAGCTTACCTGGGTATATTTAAAAATACTAGACACTGGAACTTCAGCTCCTGGATCTTTGGGGTGAGATCTGTCCCATCACACTGCAATGATCAGGACAGAAAGGTCAAGGGCTCTGAGGGAGACTCAAGTCTCCAACGTTATCAAGATAACTGGGTGATGATGGCACGTACCATAGTCTTCCAGTTTAGCCCCTATCTCTGCTTCAGTGAATACCAGTTACTGTGATGGAAAATGAATTCTGATGATAGCTTTACCAGGACCAGGGTTCAGAGTGGGGCTTTCTTTCGTTTTTCATGTAAAAACGAAGCTGGCACTTCATCACAATGATTTTTCTCTGTTTCTCACAATCAAAGGGAATACTGTCATTCTTATCTTCAATTATCATTAGGCATTTAGGTTTGTAGCAACAACATGCAAAGGTTTATGAACACTTCAAACAGTGAAGCTCCAGGTTAAGGCAACAGCATTCTCCATCACAATCGTCTGAATCAAATAACGGTAATGAATATAGTCTCATTTTCTTTCCTTTTTAAGATAATTTTTTATTTTGAAAATATTAAATATTTTGAACACGATTTAAAAGGTATGTACTTTGCATGCTTGTTTAAAAAAAGTATCTAATTATAAATTAAGGAGCCATGGTGGTACAATGGTTAAGCACTCAGCTGCTGACTAAAAGGCTGGCAGTTGGAACCCACCAGCTCTGTGGGATAAACACCTGGCAATCTGCTCCCATAAAGATTACAGCCAAGAAAACCCTATGGGGACAGTTCTACTCTGTCACATGCAGTCTCTATGACTCCAAATTGACTTGATGGCACCTAACAACAACAATTATAAATTATCGCCATTCATGCTTTGCTTTTATCAATTTAATCTCTTACAAACCTTGACCAGACTTTGGAGCTAAATTACTTTCTGGAGTCTCGCGATGGCTCTGGGTCTCGAGGGCCAAGGGCAGCTTGGCCTCAGCCTTTGTATACTGCTCCCTCACTGCTTAGCACTTTCCTTAAGAGTATCTTCTATGTCCATTCACCAAAGAAAAGGCTTTAATTTCCCTTCCTCATTTTCCACTTCTGATAAAAATCAAAAGAGGAAGAACTCTAGTATGACCATAGACTTCTCAACGACAGTGGAATAAAGCCTGCTTTTGTATTTGCTCCCCCCGTAGCCTCACCAAGGAACTTTCCCATTATTGCCTCTTGGGGACAGAGGAGTGAAACCTTCCCAAACTCCCCGGGAATTTTTTAAGTTTTCTTCAGGAGGAGTTTCAGTCTAAGGACAATGATCTGGCAAGGAGTCAAGGTTGTCTCTAGCACCTGCATCCTTCCCCCAACTGATTTCAATGCAGCCTTGTGTTCGTGAACCTTTCCAAAAATCATTTCTAGGACATCTTAGAATCCTAAATGAGCAAAACATTTTCAAATGTAGTTTAGATAGGAATAAAAATCTAGATTTCGACTTAGGTGTTTTTACAGTACTCCCAACTACTAAGCAAGCATGAATTCTCCCCATTTATTTCAGGGCTTGGAACTAAGTTTATAGATGACTATACCAATTAAGAAAATGGTGTCCCTCAATATAATTGTATAATTGTAATGAATACATGGTTCAAAACCCAAACCCACTGCCGTCAGGTCGATTCCAACTGACAGGGACCCTATAGGACAGAGTAGAACTGCCTCGTAGGGTTTTCAGGCCTTTAAATCTTTACAGAAGCAGACTGCCACATCTTTCTCACACAGTGGCTGGTGGGTTTGAACTGCTGACCTTTTGGTTAGCAGCCGAGCACTTTAACCACTGCACCACCAAGGATCACTTACCGTCCAATAGTTAACCTAAATATATAAATTGGTATTTGGAGGTTCTTTTTTTTTTTTTTTTTTGCCTAATACATACTTATATTCAAATGAAACAATCAATATACCCAATACTTACAAAAACTTTAACATGTTTGGATAGATCCCTAGAACTTCTCTGCAGGAAATCAGAAAAGGCTGCCTGTATCACAGGAAATAAAGAAGAAGAAAAAAAACCTTCTTAATTACATGGTTATACTAAATCCTCGCTTCCATATGATAGATCGTTCCCAGTGATTCCAAACTATTAAAAAATATAAAACAAGTTTTTGTTTTTGTTTTTTTGCTGATCCAAATGAAGCCGTGCAGTGGCTATCAAGTTGGACGTTTTCTCTTTGTTTTTATACTATAACCAACAACAGAATTTAAGATCACAGTAGGAGAGCGAAGAAGTGGATAATTCCAAGGATCCGTCTGAATGTATTTTGACAACCTTTCCCAGCCTTTCCGCTTTTCCTACTTGCCAGTGTGACTGCTTTGCTCTACCACGTTTAATTTCACTCCTGCAGTAGTTAGGAGCTCAGCTGCTAACCAAAGGGTCTGCAGTTCAAATCTATCAGCCACTCCTTAGAAACCCTATGGGGTAATTCTACTCTGTCCTATAGGGTCACTATGAGTTGGACTCGACTCAATGGTAATGAGTTTGGTTTGGTTTAGGTTATACAGTGTACGGTGTCCTGGTGGCATAGTGACTAAGAGCTCATCTGTTAACCAAAATGTCAGCAGTTCAAATCCACCAACAGCTCCTTGGAAACTCTAGGGGGCAGTTCTACTCTGTCCTATAGGGTGGCTATGAGTTGGAATTGACTCGACAGCAACAGGTTTGGTTTTGGTTTTATACCACGTATAAATTTAAGCCACCCTTCCTTTATCAATATTTTCGAAGTCTTTTTTTTCTTCTGGCCATTTACCCCTAGGGATGTCCCTGAGGAGAAGGCGGAAAAAAGAAGGGGCCCCCTTTAACTCATATATGCTTCCATGAAAAATGTCCCCTGCTCCTTCAATTTCTCATCCAAACGTCCCTGTGTACACGCACCTGTGGAAACTACATTCTCCCGCAGACCGCCATGCGGCTTTCAGTGTAACGAACTTCCCACACTTCCCTCAGTTATCTGATGTTTATTTTTCACACCACTCCTGGAATATCATCTCCTCTCTACAACATGGAACCCCAAAGGCTTTAAAGTTCAAAGATGATGAACATCGGCTCTCTTTCTGACGACTAACTTAAGAAATACATCATTACACTTTTATTCTTCAGCCAAGACATTGACCTTTAGTCACATGTAGGCTATCTGTATAAACATCAGAGATGTGTAATTATTTTTAATATCATTAGCATCTTTATTACTAAGAGTGAGTAGTAAATGATACACAGTAGTAATATTAAAGTGAAAGCTATACTTACCCCCGCATAAAACATTTTATTTCGAAAACGACTGTTGAATTTCTCTGGATTTGCTTCTGAGAAAGAGGAAAGGTAGGTTTTGTTATAGAGACCTCATTTAAGGTAGCCACTTAGATAAGCACCCTTCCTTCTGCCCCTCCCTGCCCGCCCCACAGATGCAACAGGTCCAACAGCTTCACTATCATCTTTCCCTTAGGTTCAGATCAGTTGTCCAGTGCTATAAAACTATAGTCTCAAAATGGCGGCATTGGATCAGTTGGGAGCTTGTTAGCAATGCAAATTATTGGGCCCTGCCCCGGACCTACTGAATTAGAATTTCTGGGGTAGGGGTCTCAGAATCTGTGGTTTGACAAGCTCTCTAGGTGATTCTAACGCACATTAAAGGTTGAAACGCTCTGGACTCTATTCAAAATAGAGGATTGGTGGAAACAGTACAGGACAAGGAGCCCTGGTGGCGCAGTGGTTAAAACACGCAGCTGCTAACCAAAAGGTCCACGTTCTACTCTGTCCTATAGGGTTACCATGAGTTGGAATTGACTTGATGGCAGTGGGTTTGGGTTGGTCTGGAAGACACAGGGCAGGGGTGGTAGGGGAGGAATGGAGGGAGGAAGGGGTGGTCATGTGCTTTGACTTCCACAGGGCATGGCTTCTATGAACTATGTATGCAGCTTCCAAACGTAATTACACGCGGGGGATTGGGGCAAAAATTAATGGTGAATTTGCTTTCACATCTGGCAAAACTCTGAACGGCCATCTGCTCTCCTGCTTGTGACAGGCCTTGAGATTCATTTGGTTGAGTCTGTCTGAGCTGCAGACAGCCAGCTGAAAACCCAGGGATTTATGTTACTGCAAAGGCACTCACTGGAAAGTGCTTTAATTTTGAATTTGCTCCGGTAGGTTACAGAAGTTGAAGAGCACAAAAAGATGAACCAAGAACCAGCCACAGAGATTTTCCACGAGAATTCTGAAGATTATAAAACACCTTAAAAAAAAATTATATCCTCACACTTTTTTTCCTAATAAAATTCCAAGACATTCTAAAAGAATCCACTACCAATTTTTTGCCTTCTCTTACTTGCCTATATTCCCATTGGTTCATTCTGAGGGCTAAGACTTTCTCCAAGTCATTTCTCATTAGACACCTGGCTGCCTAGCTCCAACCCTCCACGTCCTAACCCTGTTCTTAAACGGCAATTCTCATCTATTGTTGACTAGATGAAGAAAAGTCACAGAGTTCACTCACTAAGACTGGGCAGAACAACAGCTACAGGACCTCAGGAAATAGTCTTAAATATTTTCACGATTATCAGAACATAATTTTAGCACATGACATGGAAACTGGGTACAGGATTGCAAACTTTAAAAAAAATTGAAGAGCGCCTTCTTCATTAATTAAAGTTTCTGTATTTCCAATCTCTGTTAAATATCCGCTCTGTTCTACCAAGTAAAGCATCTAAGCCTAGAAATAAAATAAAACAGAAGGCAAAAGGTTACTTTACTGGATATACCATACAAACAGAAGATAAAAACGGTGCTTATTCCTCCGTCTGCCTGATCTCCCATTTTTGGCAGGAGAGTCTACCGTTTTCACCATCTGGACCTTCTTCTTCAGGATAAATCTGGCTGATGAAGGGTGTGTTGTTTTTGACCTTTTTTGACCCAGACATGGCTGGGTACCATTTTCAGTTGCATTAACTCTTTCTTGCTTTATGGGACCCGAGGCAAAATCACAGTCTTTAGTGCTAGACAATTTATCATAGGTATATAAGCCTCGACTTAAAAAAAGTCAGATCTAGCTAAAACATAACTTATGATGAGCAATGGAAAATGCTAGCCACAGTCTGTCACAGAGCTTTTTCAGGGCACTGATGTCCAGAGCTATTAAGTAAATCATATACCAACTACTAACTTTTTATTTTTTTTTAATAATTTATGGTTTGGAAAATATTCACATCCTTTTGAGGCTTTCTTATAAGCCTTAAAGAACTGAAAAGTTTTAAGGAAAGAAAGAGCTTCTTTTTTTTTCCCTTAGGAGCCGGAAAAGTTTCTGTAAGACCCAAGAAAATCAGGATAAAATCAAGAAATAAACAGTTTTTGCTGATTCCACTCATGTGTTGATGAAAAAAGTCACCTCAGATAAAATTCAACCAGATGAAATTCAGTGAAATAAGTAAACCTAAAAAGCAGAGTCCCTGGGTGGCACAAACAGTTAAGTGCTTAGCTACTAACCAAAAGGCTGTAAGTTTAAGTTCACCCAGAGGCATCTCAAAAGAAAGGCCTGGTGATCTGCTTCTGAAAAATCAGCCACTGAAAACCCTGTGGAGCACAGTTCCGCCCTGACACACATGGGGGCGCCATGAGTTGGAATCTACTTGATGGCAACTGGTACCAGTACTGGCATACAATTAATTTAATCTTGCCCTTACTACACAGTACCGCCTACTACTATCTACCTTTTATTTATGGTGTCTATCCCCCAATTAAGGTGGCGCAACGGTTAAGCTCTCAGCTGCTAACTGAAAGGTTGGCGGTTCAAACCCACCAGGCACCCCTTGGGAGAAAAGACCTGACAAGCTGCCTCCGTAATGATTATAGCCTAGAAAACCCTACGGGGCAGTTCTAGTCTGTTATATGGGGTCACTATGAGTTGGAATTGACTCAACAACACACAACAACATCCTCCAATTAAACATTCCATTAGTTCAAGAAACTCTTACTGAGACAACCGCTGGGCACTAGGAATATCCAGAAAAACAGGACATGTCTTTTGTCGTCATGGAGTTTAAATTAGGGGAAGACAGGCCTGACAATGAAAAATATACCGTCATGTTATCTGTGCCATCATGAGTGATGTCTGTAGAAGACAAGGTGGGGCGCACAGAGAAGGGATGATCCAAAAAGTGTCCTTGAGGGAGGAACCCTGGAAACTTGAGAGATGAGTAGGTGTCAACCAGGGGTTCAACATGGAGAAGCTTTCAGATAGAGAACCCAAACCGTGAGAGCTTCTCAATGGCAGATTGTCCTTGAGCCTCAGAGCCTGGAAAACAGGCAGCTTGTCCTCAGTGATGATGGAACTTAGCAAGGCACAGCAAGTAAAGCCTTTTTAAGTTAGTTCTCCCTAAGTCCCCTACAAAATGAATCATGAAACAGTCATCAGCCTTTGAAACGTGATGATCGTCATGTCTCTGTGTACTCAAGGAAAATAATAAATCCTAAATCAAATTTAAATACTGCCTCCTCTGGAGTCATAATTATATTTTCTTGACCTTGTAGCATAAAGTTCAACTCCTCTGAATAATAAGTAATTTCAATGAGGCAGTATAATTTAAGCATCCAATCTCGGACTAAAAGTTTGATGTGTTTAATATCCTTCATCTTCAAAAAGTGACAATCTCATTAATTCCGATGGCAAACTGAGACCTAACTTTGCCTCCTGATGGCCAAAATCGTTGTTAACATGGCTATACGTTAGTAGACTGGAATACGTCCAACGTGCTTTCTCAAGCACGGCCATAATGAAGTCATGAGGAGAGTACTGGGCAAGATTCCAACTGGCAATTAAATGACAGATCCTATTACACCTCCACATCCTATTCCCCATGACAGCATTTTCTGCTACACAGCAGCAACAGTTCAAAATGAATGATTTCGTCACTTTGAGAAGAGCAAGAAAGTATCTCTGTTTTCCAGCTGAATGAGGTATATCATCTTTCTGCTTAAATACAGAAACCCAAACTATCAAATGTTTGCCTTCTGTGTATGTAAAGTCAGTCAAAATATTAATGCCTTTATTCCGTGTTTGATTTTCCACAAGTAATTCTAAAGCATTTCTCATAAACTGTCTCAAAATAAATTTCACTTTAATTGTCCTCTCTAAAAGAAATACAATACAGGTAGTTATGTTAAAATCTGCATCTGTCCCAGGTCATTGGATGGGCTATTTTTACATCTATAACAAAAATTGTTTCTGCAATTAAATTTTTTTAGATTTTGCCTTAATAAGATTTGTATCTATTATTAATTTCACGTAGATTTATTGATACAATTCCTAATTTAAGGTATGATGGTTCCTTGACTAACACCCGTCCTCATGCTTTCACGACAGCTCTGTTGCGGCTTTGAGTCACCCCCTCAGGTATTTTACGACAAGTAACACAGCTTTGTCACGAAGTCTCAGACTGTGAGCGACAGTGTTTGAGAAGACTTTGAAGTCTCAACCGTGAGTGTTCTTGGATTGATGACAGCCATTCACTATTTGCCAACAAGAATAAGTAAGTCGGCTCCTACTGAAAATGTGGACATGGCTCTCTTTTTCTTCTCTGGCTTAGCTTGAAATTTTTTTACTAACCAGGTAAAAATATGGGGAAAATCCAAATCAAGAGAAAATGGTAAAAAAAAAAAAAAAAAGCTTAAATATATCAATAAACACAAATCATGTATGTGAGTAAAACTCACCAGTTAATATAGAGATTGACCAACGAGTAACAGAGATAAAGAAGTCCACCACAGTGGTCTCTAGCAATATCAATATAACATGGCCCCTATTATTTTATGGACATCCATTTTGTCCCATATCTATATCATCTTCATGAATACCGGATCTATTTCTCCGACTCAACTGAAACTCTCCCTTCTCAGCTCTTCAGTAGCTGCATTTCCTCAAGCGCTCTGGCTTACCTTCAGGTCAAATGCAGTTACACCCCACACTGCAGTAAAGCCCTACACTAAGCCCCAGCAATAAACCATTCAAAGATTAACGAAGGCTTGACATCTTTTAACCAATTGTTTTATAAACACAAACACACATAAACCTATATGCATACACACACACAACAAATTATATAGTCCATTCTAAAATTAAATTAAAAATAAAGAAAAAGAAAAGAAAAAAAACCACTGTCCCACAGGAATTATCTGCTGAGCCTGCTCTCCCCACCTGGTGTCTCTCCCTGCCTCATCCCCCACTCTGACGCGTAGAAATTGAGGCTAAACAGAGACAGTTGAGGCAAACCACCCCTCTTTGCAACTAAGAAAGAAAGAGAGTCAGAGGAGTCACCACAGGATGGGGAAATGTATCACTTTTCCCCACTAACACAGCTTTCAGATGAATTCGACTCAACAGCAGGCTCACTGAGTGAGCTCTGGGCTGGCTGCTTACTTGGTCAGGCCTCTTTTCATTGCCAGGACACCTGTTTTGGGGGATCCAGGCATTAGTGATTATTGGGTTATTTAACAAGTATTTTTAAGAAACTGAAGGATTTTATCAAGAATTGAGATCTAGAGTCTCCTGAGGAATATGAGGGAAAAAAATCCCCATTACATAAACTACTCTCCTAAAATATAGGAAGGGCAACAAGTTATAAATGTCGGCCCTAATATACGTCCTTCCGAATACATAACCTCCAAGAACTGTCCGTTAGGGGCGGGGTTATTTCTGATTTTGGAACTTTGCAGGTTCTGTCATTAATCCACCATTCTGTGATTTTCTGGCTAATGAGAGAGAAAGGGCAAAGGATGACCCTCTCTTCAATCATTTGACACAGATTTTGACCTCAACAGAGCCTGTCCCCTCAAAGCGTCATGAAATCAAGAAAAGAGGTCTACCCAAACTGTTGAATTCCGTAAGGGACTTCACAGGCTCGTACTCCATGCATAGTCTGCATTCTGACAGCCTCAGTCCTACAGCCCCAACTCTTGACCGCCATCGCAGAAAGGCGTGATCAGAATTTTCTCCGCATAATTACTAGAATCTGAAGATCTGAATTCTAGCTTTAAGCACTCTATATTTCATATTCTATGAGTTAAAAAACATTTAACCTCTTGCAGAATCTGGAGGGAAAAAGTAATTCCTCATTTATCTCACAAATTTCTTACTAATCTATATCCTAGCATTATTTTGGGTATATATATATATATATACATATATACACACACAGTTATAGATATGGTTATACCCATTGCCGTCGAGTCGATTCTGACTAATAGCGACCCTATAGAACAGAGTAGAACTGCTCCATAGAGTTTCCAAGGAGCAGCTGGTGAATTTGAACAGCCGACCTTTTGGTTAGCAGGCGAAGGCTTAACCACTGCACCACCAAGGCTCCAGATACAGTTACAGGCATATACTACACACAGATACATTGTTGTTGTCATCAGCTGCCGTTTAGTCAGCTCCGACTCACAGCGATCTTATGTATAAAACACTGAACACAGAACAAACATTGCCTAGTCCTGCACTATCTTCATGATCGTTGGTATATTTGAGCCCATTGTTGAGGCTATTAAGTCAATCCATCTCACTGAGGGTTTCCCTTGTTTTTGTTGGCCCTCTACTTTACCAGGAGCCCTGGGGGCACAGTGGTTAAGTATTTGGCTGCTAACCAAAAAGATGGCAGTTTGAATCCCCCAGCCACTCTTTGGAAACCCTATGGGGCAGTTCTACTCTGTCGTATAGGGTCTACTTTACCAACCATGATGTCTTTTTCTAGCGATTAGTTTTATATACATATATATATACATATATATATCCTTTTCTAGTGACTGGTTATATGTATATGTATCTATACATATACATGCATACATACATAGACATGTACATACATACATGTATATATTACATATATAATAAAGTTATATTAATAAAGGTAAAGTTTCAGAGAAATGAGAGATGGACATGATAGATAGATTGATAGCTTGATTGATTGATTGGGGCTACAAAGTATAAATCAAAATCTGAAAATTTCTCACCTTGAAATGGCATAAGAAAGTTTTGATGAAATACTTAACAGCATGTTATTCTTTCACCTTATTTCTCTTTCAAAAATTGTTCAGCTTTCCTAATCTGGACTCCATCTCTTGTGGTTCCCGAAATGGCCAGTCACCCTCATTCACACCCCTTCTTTATCCAGTCATGAATCCCAGTATCTTCCATCCCTGAGCCAATCACCATCACACTGTCTTTCAACATACAACCTAAGTTGTCTGTTGTCTCTTTTAGGCCTTTACGTTTTGCCCCAGTGGTGCAGTGGTTAGGTGTTCAGCTGTTAACCAAAAGGTCGGCAGTTCGAATTCACCAGCTGCTCCTTGGAAACCCTATGAGGCAGTTCTACTCTGTTCTATAGGGTCGTTATGAGTAGGAACCAACTCGATGGCAATGGGTATGTATGCATGTATATTTTCCTTCCAGATCCCAATGGCTATGATTATGAAGTGTTAAGTTTTAATAACTGGTGGTTTGAGAAGCTGTAAGTATCCTGAAGTCCCTGGGTGGTGTAAACAGTTAACACACTCAGCTGCCAACCAAAGGATTAGAGGTTCGAGTCACCCAGAGGCACCTCAGAAGAAAAGCCTGGGAATCTACTTCTGACAAAGCAGCTATTGAAAACCCTATGGAGCACAGCTCTCCTCTGACACACATGGGGTCACCATGTGTTGGAATCAATTCAATGTCCACTGGTGAGTATCCTGATGACTTTAGTGTCACTTCTTAATAGTTGGTTAACTTCAAATTTTCCAGTCTATGCAGTCTAAAACTTAAAGGAGAGGTGTCCTGAGCCCTGGAGCATGCACTTGGTTCTATCCTTCACTATCTTTGAGACCCTAAACGGCTAGGCCCCAGGGCCCTATTTATAGGAGATCCTATCGTGCCCAACTCATGGGGTCATCACTGAGTGCAATGAAACGACACTGAGCAGACTGTACACACTTAAGTAAGATTGCAAACAAAAGGGAACATGCAAAACACCTGCTGGAAACTTCCTCCCTGGGAGATGGAAATGGGGCGTGGTCCTCACCTCGGGATTCGTGGAACTCCAGGGTGACATGGGCATCAAATCCGAGGCTGAAGTAGTTATTGAACACGTTCAGTGGGAGCTGCAACGATAAACAAAGGTGGAGGGAGGGAGACTGGTGCTTCACCCAGCAGAAGAAAAAGAAATGTTTGGCAGCCAGAAGCGTGCCTCGGGAGCAGTCGGCCCCTGGAAGAGCGCTGGGTCCCAGCTCCACATAAAGGGTGTTTGCATAGAAGAAGCAGGGGGTTCTTGAGTGAATTCACAAGTAATCCTCCCAAGAATTTTAAATAGTATAGGAAAAAGGGATAGAAATGCAAATTATTAAACCAATGCTGCAGTAATAATGGAACCTGGCTGAGCTGAAGGTTGCACATTTGCAATAGCTACAAAGAAGGATTTACAAAGCAAACTTAGAAAGTAAATCCACTTGAAAGGATCATGTCTAACGTATTCACTCCATGGATACACTTTTTTAGAGAATTTAACTATATTCAGTATATGAATACTGCAACTTTATAATGAATAAAATTTAATTTGTTTGCCCTCCATCTATTTTCCAAAAAGGAGTCCCTGGGCAGTGGGGACAGTTAACGTGCTCGGCTGCTACCAAAAAGTTGAAAGTTCAAGTCCACCCAGAGGCACCTCAAAAGAAAGATCTGGTTATCTGCCTCTGAAAAACCAGCCGTTGAAAACCCTATGGGGCACAGTTCTACTCTGACACACATGGGGTCGCCAGGCATTGGCGTCAACTTGATGGCAACTGGTTTTGGATTTTCAAAAAAAAGACTTTTTTTTTTTTTTTTTTACAGAAGTCATATAAGCAACAAGGCCCTGGGAACCATTCAACTGTTCTTGACCTAGACAGAGAGAGGGTGTGTGTGTGTGTGTGTGTTCAGTATTGCTGAGATCTTCATCTAGTTCATCAAATCTTAGATCTGTAATATGACTAGGAGAGATGCAAACTCAGACACACAGATGCACAAGCTTTAACTTTCCTCCCCAGAGTCCTCTGCTCCAGGCTGGGGAAACTAGAGAACCACACAGTCTAAAACCCTGCATTTAAAGCTGCAAAACTGATGTGATTTTAAGGTTTCTGTTCAATGTCAGAATTAAGAAGGCACGTGGAAAAAGCTAGAGGGGAAAAGGGTGTTTCCCTTTTTTATGTTTATAAACATTAAAAATAAATAAATAGAGAGAGGTAATCTTATCTCAGCTTGCATAAGGTTTCCAGATACTCACCAGGCTTGCTCCCCAGGTAGCACTGCATCTCTGCTCTATTACAAGTAAGTGCTTTAACCCTCAGGATTTCAAAAGTAAATTTACTACAGGGTTTCATATGCCCTTCGATTAGGAAAGCTTTCTGTTTGGCTTGAGTGAGAGGATTGCCCCATTAAGAGAAAAATGAAAGAAGAGGAGAGAGAAGGAGAGACGGAGAGACAGAGTGCAGAAAGAAAGAGATGGAACTGCCATGGCATCTAACGGCAGTCAGAAATGAACCCCGTGTGGAACCCCCTGAGCAGAGCCTGGGAGGATTCAGAGGCCAAATCCGCCCTTAGAAATGGTACAACTGGAGACCGGGGAGAGAAACTGAACACAGAGAACAACACCAAAGCCATGTCTAACCGCTGGCTCCACGTTCGAGAATGTGCAGTCCCTGCTCTTCAAGAGAACCCAGTCCTGAGTAAGGGTGGCGTGGGCTGGGGATCCTGGCAAAAGCAGAGCCGTGTCTGTCTGTCCACCATTTACGTTCTTCTGGCTACAGTATAATCCACGTCTTGGCATCCACTGTCAACTAAACAGAACATCTGGTCACCATGCCCTAAATAATAACCCAGTTTAGTCTGGTATTAAGTTATTATTCACATTTTCCAGGAAAAAATTGCCCTGATTTCCTACACGTCTCCTCAATAAACCATTTCCAAAGCCCTGAAATTATCTGCAGGGATGTTCCCTGGCCCACTAAGAATTCTTTCCATTTCCTAAGCTGTAGGGAAGAGGACTAAATATGGATTTCCACTGAGGGCCTCAGCATCACGAGTGCAGTGTGGAAAGAACCTTCATATTTCCATGTGGTACACTTCTTTCTGCCTAGGCTATCTGTTTTATATCCAATTTCTCTAAGTCCAATACATCAGGGGAAAGGAGGCACATCCCGAGATGATACTTGCAGTTCAAACAACATTATGACATATGAATTCAAATCAAACTGAGCCAGTATGACAGCTACTAGAAACCTGATTAATTTCTGGATCATGGTTTACATGGAAAAACCATGAAGACAAGGCAAAACATGCTCTAAGTTATTTCAGTTTATTTGTAGGTAATTAGAGCATCTATCTCAGTAGGTCAGGATCGGGGTGCTAATGAATAAGCAGGCAATGGTTTGGTTTAAGATGATAATTGGGTTCAATCTCTTCAAAGTCTAAAACATCCACTGTGGTATCCTTTAAAAAAAAAAAAAACAAAAAAAAAACCCACTGCTGTCTAGTCGATTCTGACTCACAGCGACCCCACAGGGTTTCCAAGGCTGTAAATCTCTACGGAAGCAGACTGCCCACATCTTTCTCCCACAGAACCGCTGGTGGTTTCGAACCGCCGACCTTTCAGTTAGCTGTTGATCGCTTTAACCACCGTACCACCAGGGCTTGGGGACACCATGTGGCTGCTAATAAGGGACAGCTACGTGGCCATTAAGCATTTCAGAAGACCACTAACTACGTGTTCTTAGGATGCACAGGAGAGGTGAAGTATCGACACTGCAAGCTGCTCAGGAAAGAGCAGGGAGCTCTGGTGCCAGCAAAGGGACTTTCCAGAAAAGGTAACTTAAAATAGATTGCCATGGAAACAGCTGAGGTGCTTTCCAGGAACACCGCAGATGCAACTTCCAGAGAGGATTACAATAATGCTTACTCTTACAAGATCAGCTTAAAGTAGAGTAACTGAAAATAACACCTGGGCAAAACTCAGGTATAAGAAAGGGGGCAAGTCGGACGCCAAATTGAGACCCATCTTTGGATGGACAACCTCCCGGTCAGTTGGTTGTGTGACTCCCTGGCTGTTGGCTGCCCCGCCATCGGCACCATCGCCGTCTTGTCTCGTTAGAGCACTGTGTTGCTGAGGGTCAAACCAGAAGGGGACTGAGTCACCCCAGGGAAACCTCTGTACCATCAGCAGGTCTGGAACACGACAATCCATGAAATCCTAGCCTCAGTCAGTGGCATGCTGTCCCAATGCAGATGCCTGGGCCCGCAGCCTACATTCACTTAATCAGAATCTCTGGGGACTGGGCCTTGCAATCTGCATTTTAGCAAGCACTCTGGAGATTCTTTTGCATTCAGAAGTTTGAAAACACTCATAGAAGAAAGGTGGCAAATACCCTGGAGGAAGTGGCTTCTCAGCACCCTACCAAATTTACCTGAAATTGAGGCTAGAACTTAGATGAAAGCATTCAACTGTAACTCCGCATTAGCATGTTCACAACTACGTCCCTTGGTTCATTGGTGGGTGAAATAAAAGCCCCATCACTGAAGGAAAATGGGATCTAAGTCAAAAAACTTATTTAGGCATCTCCAAGTCCCAACCAAGTTATTTCCTAACATAAAGGATATTTGCTAATCAGACCAGAAGTCTCCGGAGGTCATCTTTCTACTGAAAGGCCACGTGACTGACACTTCAGAACATACGCCTGTTTCATGTTCTCATAGGTAAAGGCTTTGCATTACACTGGACACACGCCTTTCTAGCGTGGGAGTGCAGCAGACAGAACCGCCCCCGAGCCCTGAGCTCTGGAGGCCAGGAGGGAACCTAGGTCTCAGAGTCTACAGGGCATAATCATGGGTGGTGCAAATGGTTAACATACACTGCTGCTGAGCAAAAGGTTGGCAGTTCAAATCCACCCAGAGGCACCTCAAAAGAAAGTGCTGGTGATCTACTTCCAAAAACTCAGCCAGTGAAAACTCTATGGAGCCCCGTTCTACTCTGACACACATGGGATCTCTGTGAATCAGAATTGACTCCACAATAAATTTTTTTGTCTATCTTTCTTTTGTTTTGGTTTGTTATACTCATGGTCCTAACAGTCCTAAATTCAAACACTGTCCCATTATCTTGGAGGGAGGACTGGCACATGAACCTCCTGCCAGGAGTATATTCCGGAAGTCGATGCCCCGGGGTCCCTTTCCACTGAAGAAAGATCTCTCTAACCTTGCACACGCCATCTTCAAGTTCCTCTGGAGGCAGGTCTGGGTTTCTTTCCACGTGGAGGTTCCAGCGATCAAGCTGTACAATTGTCCCGTCTTCCACTTGGCACAAGATCTTAGAAACAGGCTCATCCGTGTAGCCCTATAGGAGCAGAGAACACACCCACTGGAGTCCAGCGCAGTGGCTGTTGTAGCCCATGCCATCATAAGCAAGGAAGGGCCCTTCTGCTATAGATCTCTGCTTATTTCACTATAGCAAGGCTGGGAAAGGAAACTAGGTTTGCCTTGAGTTATTCAGAATTTAAGATAATAATCACAGGTAACGGGCATAGGAATACTAGCTGGTTTGAGGTGAGGAACAATTTTGGCCGGCACCAAGTACCAACAGCCACTGGTAGGCATTGAGGGTCAGGCTGGATGTCTGCTCTTACCAGGGTAAGGTCTGAACTCCCTGGGCCTCCTACTAGAGGCAGCCGAGGGAAACACAGAGCAAGTGTGTGTGCAAAAGAGGGAGGGGGATCAAGAATCAATCAATCTGATTGACAGCTTGCTTCTGTTAACACCCTTCTCACTCGCCTCTCCTTCACGCCCAGGACACCACTGCCTCCATGCCCAGGACAGGTCAGGTTGAAGTCGAGCCCTAGGAGGCATGACTTACTCCCAGCAGACTCATTACTGACGGCATGATTAAAGATACCCATTGTTGATTTGAAGGAGAGGCATTGACACATAATGAGTAAGTTGCCTCATGTACGTATATTTACTATTTAAACCCTCCCCGCCTACTTAAAAAACACGCCTGTGGGAAGTTAACCCATGCAAAGGCCAGATTCATATTCGCTAACCTATGGAGAATAATTTTCACAAGCAATAGTCTCATATGAGAAGATAAAATGCTGGTGGGGCTGAAGTGCTGATATATCGTGCCTTCTTACCATCTTGGTGCTTGAAAAAGCAAAAGTAACAATGAGATGTCTGGCTAGCGACAGGTGGAGCTACTTCCCACTAAACTTGCCTGTAGGCAGCTCCATGGTGGGAAGGATAAGTTAGTGAGTGACCTGTATAACTAAATCTGTGATGGCACTGATCAGAAAAAACAGATGCTCAAAAAAAGCTGAAACTCTCCCAAAGTAAGGGCTATAAATCTGAACGGGATTCACTGCCTGGCCAGGGCCCACCATCAGGAAAAATTCAAGTTGGCCTGGTGGTTTTACATGAAGACCTAAGGCAAAGCCACTCTGTCTTTGAAGACACCTCAAAAAGTCCCAGGCCTGCCCAGCTACCACTGCCATTTTCTCCTATTAAGCTTTCCCTCCCCTCCAGCTGACTATAAGCTTAAGCTTGAGGAAGCTACCAGATGAAGTCGGGGCCGTGGACACCCATTCCCATTTCTGACTTGTTCCTCGGGCGGCGCAGCAAAGCCCGTACATCCATACACCTGTGGGTGTGGGCAGCCCCTGGGAAACGTTCTTACCCCGCCCCAGTTGAGCGTGCGGGCCAGGTCGTTCCCCGTCCCCAGAGGAAGGACCCCAACAGGGGGTTGGGGGCTCAGCTGCAGCTCATCCAGGATGGACAGGATCCAGCCCACCTACAGATGTGTCAGGGGCCAGAAGAGAGAAAAGAAAGATAAATCAACGATAGAGAAGGCAACTTGGGAGGAGTCTTTACGGAGCTGAGAACATGTATGCGTTAGCGCAGTGGATAGGGTGCAGGAAGCTCACGCGTCTCAGGCAGTTCCGGAAGTCAGCCCTCTGAGAAGGAAAGGGGTTGTCTGCACATGGACCACCATATAAATAAAACTGGGCCCATTTATCGGTATGTTTAGCTCCTGTTGTTGCTGGGTGCCACTGAGTAGATTACCCACAGGGTTTTCTAGTGGTTAAGAGCTCAGCTGCTAACCAAAAGGAGGGCAGTTCAAATCCACCGGCCACCTCTTGGAAACCCTATGGGCTAGTTCTACTCTGTCCTATAGGGTCACTATGAGTTGGAATCAACTCGACGGCAACAGGTGATCTTTACGGGAGCAGATCGCCAGGTCTTTCTCCCACAGAGCCACCGGTGAGTTCTAACCACCAACCTTTTTGTTAGCAGCCGAGCACTTAACTGCTGTGCCACCAGGGCTCGTTACTTTAACTAGAGATCTACTTTGAAAGGTAGGAGGGTTTAAGATTTAGGAGGGCAATGTACCACGGTGCACTGCGGGGAAAACAAGAATCAGACTGAAACTCTGCTCGGGCCGCCTGCTGTGTAACCCTGATGAAATGATTGCACCTCACTGATTTCCTGATTTGTAAATGGGGATAATAATACCTACCTCACAGGGGTGTTTATAGATCAAACTAAAATCTACAAGACCCTCACTTAGCATATGGTGCATGACCACACAAGCACTCGTTACGTGGTCATCCTCCATAGCGTGACCTTAGAAATGAGTGGTGTTTTCCTAAACATTCCCATATTCTCCTTAATGGAACGTTATGGAAACATAATTAGGGATGAACCTAGCACTTAGCATAAGTTTTGAAGAAAATAGATACTTATATACTAGAATCATATTCCTGCTTCATCTTTTTCTGTCTGAGATAAATAATATGTTTGGGTTTAGTCTTATTAGGACTGTTTAGAAAAATTACCTAAAAGTTAGAAATGGCAAAAAGAGACTTGCATGTCCCTACGAGGTCATCCTAGAACAGTGTTGCTCAGGCCTGCCCAGGGACTTTGTAACTGCAGATGAATGTGTCCATTGCTGTCCTGCAGAGACGCAAATGTCAAGGAGGGAAGACAACCTGGAAGGTTAAGGTTACACTCCCCGACAGGACGTTAACCAACGTGTCTCAAATTTAGGAAACGTAAGGCAGTCTGGGTGGTGCTCCTCTAAGTCGTCAACACATCAGCTTGACCATCTTGCTGGTGAGTTCATTTTTTTCTTTTTCATTGTGGTAAACATACAGGTAACAAAATATTTGACATTTCAACAATCTTCACATGTACAGTTCAGTGACATTACATCTATCATGTTGTTCAACCATCACCATTATCCATTTCCAAATTTTTCCATCACCCATAAAAGAAGCTCAGTGTCCCCTAAGCAATGAGTCCCCCTTTTCCCCTCCCTCTGGCCCACCCATAAAAAAATAAAACCCACTGCCGTTGAGTCTATTCCGACTCATAGTGACCCTATAGGTCAGAGTAGAGCTGCCCCATAGGGTTTCCAAGGAGTGGCTGGTGAATTTGAACTGTCGACCTTCTGCTTAGCAGCCGAGTGTTTAACCACTGTACCACCCACTCACCCATGGTAACCACTAATAAACATTGGTTTCTATACACTTGCCTATTCTAGACATCTCATGTAAGTGAGATCATGCAATATTTGTCCTTCTGTGACTGACTTATTTCATTCAGCATAATGTTTTCAAGGTCTACTCATGTTGTAGCAGGTATCCAAAAATACCAAAGCCTGTTGCTGTCGAGTCAATTCCAACTCATAGCGACCCTACAGAACAGAGTAGAACTGCCCCATAGAGTTTTCAAGGCTGTAATCTTTACGGAAGCAAACTGCCACATCTTCCTCCCAGTGGCATGTAACAGGACTTCATAAATAATTCCATTTACAATGGCATCTAAAAGAATGTACGTAGGAGGCCCTGGGTGGCACAGTTAGGTGCTCAACTACTAGCCGAAAAGTTGGTGGTTCGAACCCACTCAGAGGTGCCTTGGAAGACAGCCCTGGTGATCTGCCTCTGGAAGGTCACAGCCTTGAAAACCATATGGAGCAGTTCTACTCGGCACACGTGGGGTCGCCATGAGTCAAAATCAACTTGATGGTAACTAGCAACAACAACAGCAGGAATAAACTGAACCAGGGAAGTGAAAGCCTTGCTTACTGAAAACCGTAAAACATTACTGAAAGAAATGAAAGAAAATCTAAAGACAGAAATAAAGGAGTATTCTATGCTCATGGATCGGAAGGCTACAATCATTTTTTTTCCACATGTATTCATTCTATATTTGTATAAGAGTCGTGTTTTTTTAACTTTTTCAAAAATTAAACCTTGACAGTACATTTACTGAACAGGACTACATATAAAGCACAGAACTGAGCAATTGAGATAAACGGATAAATGAGCTGAGAGAAGAGAGGACAGACAAGGTAGACCGCCCCTCTCAAGGAGTTTGTAATAACAAAATTGACATATTCTATGTGCTAGGCCCTGAGCACAACACAGTTATTTAACAAATGTTCTTATTAAACTTTAAAATAACTGTGTAAGACAGATACAATTTCCATACGCATTTTCTAGATGAAGAAGCTGAGTTCAGTGACTTGCTTAATATCCCCTCACTTGTGTGGTACAGCTGACATTCAGGATTGGGTCTGCCTAGCTCTACTCCCTGGTGGCACAATGGTTAACTGCTACGGCTGCTAACCAAAAGGTCAGCAGTTTGAATCCACCAGCCGCTCCTTGGAAACCCGACAGAGCAGTTCTACTTTGCTCTATAGGGTCGCTATGAGTCGGAATTGACTCGAGGGCAATGGGTTTAACTTCAAAGGCCAGTCTCTTGCCCACTATGGTACCGAGAAGCTTTAAATAAAGAGCTAAACCCAATATTCTACATATGGCCTGACCGTCCAGAGACAGCATCACATACTTTTGAAATTTTTAGAGCTGGAGAAACCTTGCTTTTGTTAGCTGCCATTGAGTTGGCCCCAACTCATGGTGACCCCGTGAACGATGGAAGGAAATGCTGCCCAGTCCTGTGCCATCCCCATGAAGGGGAGAAACCTTACAAGTTGCTAAATCTACTTTAGTTAATTTGCAGGTTTACTCACTGAGGTACAGAGAGATTATGTAATTTGCTCGAGACTAAGTAATTGGCAGAGGCAGAGTCAGGCTAGAATTGGGTCTCGTGAGTCCAAATCTAATGTCCTTTCTTCTCAGAAACGATATTTCTTTGTAGGATATAAAACTTGCCCTTTTCAGCAATGCAGTCTACATTGTGCTTACCTTCTGGAAAGACATATCAAAACCCTCACTCATTGTAATAAACAAAAATCAGATCTCTGAAAATGTCAAAAAAGTCCACCCATTCCCCCAAACTGGGAAACCTACTCCAAGGCAGATCCTCAGATTCTGACCAGAGTTTATTATTATTATTATTGTGGTAAATATGTAGGTAACAAAACAGTTGCCATTTCTGCCGTCTTCACATGTACAGTTTGGTGGCATTAATTATGTTTATCATGTTGTTCAACCATCACCATTCACCATCCCCAAATTTTTCCATCACCCTTAGCAGAAGCTCAGCGTCCCCTACCCAGAGCTTTTTTAACTCTTATTTTATGCACAGTGCTCACAAAACTTGCCAGATGCTACGTTAGTTCCAATGACTGTGCTAGACACTGTTTCCCCACCACTAAAAGCACAAACTAAAGGCAGTGAAAGTCGATAGCTCTAACAGACTACCAGAAAGTGAATTTAAAAAGCCATTAGGAAGCACAGGAAAACTCAGACAGCCAAGCAACCAGAAAGCACCGACTGCAGATGTAAACACCCTGAGAGAATCATAAACTTTCAGATACGCAGCGGATGTTAATGGAAATCTAAGTCAACATCCCGTACAGAGAGGGCAAACGAGGCATTCTCTTTACAACTTCGAGGAGGCACAATCATTCAACCTCCTTTTATTATCTGCACTCCTGGGTCTGCCCATTTTCTTTCAGGTAGATTTAAATTAGAAAATGCTGAACGATGTCTCTCTTTCCTTGACAGAGATAATGAACGCCATGTGTTCATATTTCCAACACCCCACTTCACTCTAGACACAGCAATGATAGAAACAAAATTTAAAAAGACTCATCTTCGTGGGCCAGAAACAAAACACCAAGCAGCAAGCAGGTCAAAGCCTCAAGTTGGCTTGGCTCCTGGTCTTGGAACAAGCAGAGGCAGCCAGGAGAATGGCTTCTATCTGATAATGGGGGTGAAAGTGCTCCCTGGTGGTGGGAGGCTGTATCGGAGCCACGCGCCACAGGAAAGCAGAGCCAGGCTCCCTCTGGAGAAAAGAGGCTGGGACTGGAGTGTGAAGAGCCACTGCCTGAGGCCATGACCAGGGACAGGTGAGGACCCTCTATGGCTGGAGAAGGCTGAGAGCCTCTGTCTGATAAGCTAGGGCCCAATGTCCCACTTCCTCGTGCCATCCCCGAAACATCTCCGCTATCTCCTCAGCATGGCGGCCTTAGACCCCAAAGAAAACCCGACTCTGCTGAGTGTCCTGGAGACAACCTCAAAACCCCTAGGAAGAGACAGTGGTGTAGAGAAGGAAAAGGGAAAAAGCAAACAAGACAAAAATACCCTCCTCTGAAGACGAGCCTGCAAAGAAAAATTCTCCGTCACATGAGGGATACGAATACTGAGACTGAAATGTTGAGGGATTCAGTCACTGCCCATGAGATACAAACAATTTCCACATGACTTGGGACTAAGTCACCGTGGCCGTCTTCTAAGCATCCTTTGATCAATATAATTGCCCTCACTCAAACCTTCTTTTGCTCTGTGCCTATGTTTTCTCAGAAAACGTTGTCAATAATCCACATGATACCTGGCTGTCTCCACGAACGACATGAGCCCTCAGGAGCTGTGATTCCCCACCATCTCCTCCCTCCTCCACTTGACCAGCACAGAAAAGGAACACATAGAGCTGATTCGACAGCAAAGGATCTTCCCCCTTTCTGATCAATTGATTTGCCTTACAAGTTGAATCTAAATATCCTATCCATTGTATCTCTAAATTGATATACTGACAAAAGGAGATCTCTGGTGGCACATGGTTAAGTGATTGATTACTAACCTAAAGGTTGGTGGTTTGAACCCACCCAGTGGCTCCACGCAAGAAAGACCTGCCAATCTGCTCCTGTAAAGATCACAGCCTAGAAAACCCTATGGGGCAGTTCTACTCTGTCATATGGGTTGCTGTGAGTTGAAATTAGTTAGACAGCACCTAATGACAACAATCAATATATATCCATTCCAATAGACAATGGATCAAATTTTAAGTTCCCCCTGAATACAAGAAGATAATCTTGGTATTTCATCATTACATAACCCTCGGAGTCAGCAAATGCCATCCCCCCTCTCACAGCTCAGATTTTTGTCTGAAATTCTCTCCTGGACAACCAGGCTGGTAGTCTTTGGCAGAGGTGGGTCTGTGTCTTTCTCTGCACAGCTCCCAAACAGTTTTTTTGTCCAACAGCTAAGTCATCACAACCCAATGGCCAACTTCCTCAGAAGGCAGCATAATGTAGGGGTTCAGGACCCCAAGCAGGAAGGGCAGAGCTGGTGTGAAGCCAGCTCCACCGCTGACTGGCTTGGTGAGTTTAAACAAGCCACTCAGTGACCCTAAGTCTCCACTCCCTCATTTGTAGAAGGAGGATGATAATAATACCTGCCTCTTAGGGTTGTTCTGTCAATTAAATAACATGTGGGAATCACTTACCATGCACTCGACGACAAACAGGAAATGCTAAGTTAATATGACCTACAATGATTCAGATATATTTTTTTCTTCCTCTTTCCTCACTACATCATTGGAAAGTCCAGTTTTATAGACATAAAATACCATCTTCCTATTTCTCTACTTATAGAAAAGCTGAGGGTCTCAGCTGAGCCCCCAAGTTTGCGAACCCACCCCACCTGCGGCTGCCATCAAATCGAGAAGGCTTTCTTCTGCACACTGCCAGGAACTGTAAAAGCAAGAGTGCCTGCCCTGCGCCGAAAGGTGCTGTAAAAGAGACAGAAGTGGAGGCACCCACAACCGCAGGGAACAGAAAAGATCTTGGATCATAATCTGTGACTTTGTCCTTACAACCGCAAAACGATGTAAAAGGCTGAGGCCCCCAAGCTGTCATCGGAGGCTCCACCCTCAAGTAACCAGGACCCGCCCTGCTGGAAGTCCAGACAGCAAGCCCTTTTGGGGAGCTGTGGCTTCTACGGCTTTAACCCAAAAAAAAAAACTCTCATATTCTAAACAAATCAGCCTAAAAATATGAATCATATACCTCGATACACATTTCATAAACCCCATGTATTTTTCACCAAACACCTTATTTTAGCAAGGTAAGGTAAAAATCAAACCTGGTTTCCCATAAGGTACACGATAACCACAGTTTTAATTCTGAGAGACTGGGCTACAGATGTGACTTCTGACACAAACAATTAGTTCAAAAGCATGTGCTGACTCTAGGGTAAGTACACTACTTGTATTTCAGACACGTCTGCCCTTAGTTACTGTCGGACACCCCGGTGCAAATGTCCGGGGCATCCGTGAGTTATGTGGAAGGATGGAAAACTGCAGTTAGGAAGAGGAAAACGTATCCATAACATAAAAGAAAGGAAAAATAGATGAAGATTTAGCCTTCTGGAAGACCCATTCTTTATGGTTTATGTAAGCAAGAGGTGCTAGATAAGAACGGACAGGGAAGTCAAAAGAGAACCAGGTAGTGTGTGTGTCAAGGAGAAGGGTGATATTAATGGTGGTGGAGAGTATTCGCGTGAAGTCTGTAATTGGATCTGGTTCTTAGGAGTTCACTGGGGACGTGCCACACCTCACTTCCTCATCATTCGTGGCTTGTCCCAATCACTCTACTGAAACTGCTTTCTTATAAACCACCAGCTGTCTCCTAGTCTCGAAATTCATGGTAATTCTTCAGTCTCTCCCTGAGGATATAACCACCAGCTCCTTCTCCAAACTCCTGCCTTGGTTGGTTTTTCTGACAGAGGAGACTACTGGCTGTCCTTCTATCTCTTCATTTTCCTTTTGGTCTTTGGCTCCTCCTCCATAATTACAGGCGTTTCCTAAGCATCAGGATCAGGCTCTCTTCTCTCCTTATGCTTTATGCTTTGAAAATCTCATGTCTTCAAATACGGATCTAAGAGCAGAGAATGCCTCAATACTACATGACTTAGCACAGTGCCCCCTACACATATCTGCTGAGAGAGGAAAGGAGAAAGAAACGAGGGGGGAAGAGAAAAGGTGTGACGCAGGGGTTACGAGGATGATGGAGAGGTTTGGGAGGCAGGTCACACCATGCAGTGATGAAGTCCAAGGTATGCAGATGGAACGGGGACTCCTGTGGGCTTGAGGTCATGCCCGTTTAAGTTAAGAAGGAACAAGAACTGTGAATTCAGGACGACACCTAGCCGATCCTTAGTGTGTCTGCCACTGTCACTGGGATTTAGAGAAGGAAAAAGATTTGAGTGGGATGCTGAAGTCAGATAGGAAGGAAAGCAGTGTCTGAACTAAGAAAACCTACTGCAATCAAGAGTCACAATGAGTTTATCCTTTCTTTAAAGATAACTAACGTGGGACATGGTTGAGCTAGGAAAACCACAGTATTATCTCCTCTCAGAGGATTCGTTTGGATGTAATTCTTAGTTAAGGAAGTCACGAAAATTCGATACTAGCATATCCCTAAATACATGTTCCCTGGAACACAATACCTGATTGAAATTTAATGGGTATTGTGAGGAAAAAAATTCTATGGCCAAACGATTTTGGAAAACACTGGGTTACACAAAGTTAAATAGGTTTGGCTTCTTCGCTGTAAGACTTTATAGAAAATTTGATAAGATGGTAATGTGCACTGTGAATCTCCAAAAATGGTAAATACCATGTGTGCAGTGTTTCCCAGCTGAGAAAATGTGTTTCCTCCCCACAGTGTCTCTTGGGACCAGTGGAATCATGTTCTGTTTCATTCCAGTAGCATTTCTTAGAATATAATGTGTCTACTGTTGTACTCAGTGCTTAGGTGCAATGAGAGATAAAACTAAAGAGAAGATTTTGTTGCTACCTTCGAGAAGAAAGCATTCTAATCAGGGAGCTTACAGAACAACTAAAGAGTTTATTTCATAATAAAAATCTTAGATCCTGTGGGGACAGATTCTAAATCCAGAAGAAAAACATACTGCACAGCAGAGTCTAAATGACACTATTCCCAATTCTTTATCTTTGCTAACTAGATGAACATAACCTCCCCCCAAAAAAAAACAATTGCCGTTGAGTCAACTCCAATTCATAGAGACTCTATAGGACAGAGTAGAACTGTCCCATAGGATTTCCAAGGAGTGGCTGGTGGATTTGAACTGCCGACCTTTTGGTTAGTAGCTGTAGCTCTTAACCACTGCGCCACCAGGGCTCCAGATCAACATAAGGAGAGGCCAAATGGAGAAACAGATGAGACATAATAAACAGGGGAAAACAGATCTGATATTAAACTTCAATCCAATTCCATCTTTTCTTTTAAAAATGACTACAAATGAGACCAATCAATGATCTTTAGAGCAAATGAATTGTCATGGATTGAACTGTGTCCCCCTAAAAATATGTGTCAACTTGGTTAGGCCATGATTCCCAGTATGGTGTGGGTGTCCTCCATTTTGTGATTGTAAATTTATGTTAAAGAGGATTAGGCTGGGATTGTAACACCCTCACTAAGGTCCCATCCCTGATCCAGTGTAAAGGGAGTTTCCCTGAGATGTGGCCTGCATCACCACCTTTTATCTTACAAGAGATAAAAGGAAAGGGAAGCAAGCAGAGAGTGAGGACCTCATACCACCAAGAAAGCAGCACTGGGAGAAGAGCGTGTCCTTTGGACCTGGAGTTTCTGTGTGGAGAAGCTCCTAGTCCAGGGGAAGACTGATGACAAGGACCGTCCTCCAGAGCCGACAGACAGAGAAACCCTTCCCCTGGAGCTGATGCCCTGAATTTGGACTTGAAGCCTACTGGACTGTGAGAGAATAAACTTCTGTTTGTTAAAGCCATCCACTCGTGGTGTTTCTGTTATAGCAACACTAGTTGACCAAGACACCAACGTTAGTGAATCTTCTGAGTTTTATTTCCACTAGAAAAAAATTAAAATAATTCAATTGTGTGGACATATTTCTACTTAATAACTGTCATACCAAATATAAGAATAAATGGCGATAGGTCAGTGTATATTTTTAAGAGAATTTAGCTGTCTGTAATCTTCATGTCTGATGACTTAACCACGTCCTTCCTCCGAGGAACACAAAAGGATAAGAGCAGCTGAGAGAAAGAAGCATAATTCAGAAGAATCAAGCATGTGTCTGAGAGGAGAACCACAAAGTTCTTTCTAACCTTCAAACCCACTGCCGTCAAGTCGATTCCAACTCCTAGCAACCCTATAGGGCAGAGTAGAACTGCCCCATCGGGTTTCCAAGGCTGTAAATCTTTACGGAAGCAGACTGCCACGTCTTTCTCCAGCAAAGGGGCTGATGAGTTCAAACTGCTGACCTTCCAGTCAGCAGCCGAACACTTAACCACCGCACCACCAGGGCTCCTGTACCTCAACCTCCTGATTCACGAGAGAGAGAAGGGTGTGTCTTGGGGGTTGGACACACTGTGAGGTGAAATGGAGAAAGAGCACCGTCACAAGGAAAACAAAAGAAAGATGGCGGAGATACAGGAGAGTGCTGAATTCAATTACAAAGACCTACCGTTCCATCCCCGCCGCAGGCCAGGATCCGCAGATTTGGTACTTTTCTATACAACTCCAGCCTGCAGAGGAAAAAGAAGAAAAAGATGATGAGAGAGCACATCACCACCATATCAAAGAGCAAACACATAGTAAAAAGCAGTGGAGGAGGGCTCCATTGGAGAAAATGTGCACTCATGAGGACCGCGACATCATCCAAACTAATTACCGAGCAACCACACGAGGAATGACTAAAATGATTGTATCAGAGGTTGGCAACCAATGTTATTTTTTAAATGGCCAACAGTGGAATGGGATTTTAGGATTCCCTAAGTTCTGTTTCCCATAATTTCTATTAATGTGTCGATACACATTATTCTCATTAGTTTTGACTCCCTTCCTTCTCTTTCTTTTCCCCTCACTCTCTCTCCTCCTTTCTCATCACTAATTGGTAATCAATAGTCCTTATATATCTCCTCTATATATTTTATAAGCTGCATCTATTTCATTTTCAAGCCTATACTTCCCAATGGTAATCCTATGCAATGTTTTTTCCAAAAGTGACAAACGGAGGCTACCCCACTGTTATTACTACCACGCCCACAATTCTGTCTATCTCTCAACTCTTTCACTCATGCGCACAGCCCCACACATGCTCCCCACCCAAAGTGGGAAGGTGTATTTATTTACCTTCCTTTCTTCAGCAACTGTGTGCTTGAAATTAGACCATTTTATCTCTCATGTTGACTGCCTCAAGAAAATGATACCACCCTTGATAAAACATTTGCTTTAATGAAACTATAAATGGTTCTGTTCTAGAAAACATCACCTATTTAAGAAAAATAATTATCTTTCTGAAATTATTTCCTGTCCCACCATGTTCTTCACGGTGACCTATGAAGTATCTACCTATCTTAAGTTTTACTGAAGTGATAAAATCTTCAGAAAAGTCAGTATCTGAAAGGGGAAAAGCTAGGGTAGCCAATTTGCCCTAGTATATTCAAACAGAGGAAAGAATACACAAGTCTTACAGCAAACTCTAGTGGCAGAAGAGTTCATAGATTAAAAGAATAATAGTAGAAATCAATTTCTCATATTCCGTGTTATTGTGCACTCCTGAAATATGTAATTTATCCGCTGCATACAGGAATACTATTTACCTGGACATCACCTAAGTTGATATTCCTTTGCCTCTGATGTTGTTACTTACTAAAAAATAATTGCTATCCCTTAAGTGCCAATGTTTATCAGATGATATCTGAACTTTCTTCATAGATGAGGTTAAAAAGGGGAACCAAACAATAGCAGAAGTGTCCCTGCTCCTTTCCGTCATGTACCCCTCCTCCAAAGGGAAGAGAAAGGATACATGTCATCTAGATCAAGACTTTATCTATTTCTCAACACTTGTAACAAAACCAAGAGAATGAGATTTTGGAAAAACTCAGAAAAAGGGACTGATCAGGAATTAAAAGGTCTCCTCGACACTGGTATGGATTCCATAGGTATAATCAATCACCCAATCTCTCTCAAACATACACACACACATACATACACACACACACACACACACACACACACAGCCTGTAATCCAAATAAATGAACATGCTCCCAAACAAATATGGCCGCCATCCACAAAGACACATTTACACCCACCATCAATGTGCATCTCCACTTATGTACCGGCATAAATGGAAGTATGACGGATCCTACCTCAACTCACAGACACGCTGATAAGCCCCAGCTACAGATACACAAGCAGTAAACAACCCACTAGAAGATTCACTGAGTTAACTGAGAAGTAACCCCCCCAAAAATAGGAGGGAACCAGTAGATGAAGTTGTAAAGGGAGGAAATCACAGGTGAGAAAGTCTATGAGAGATGGTCAGAAAATCTTTCACAGAGCAATCACATAACAGAGCTTGCCCTCAAAGCAGAAAGTCCTTCTCCCCTGCCTAACACAGATGGGAACCACGGAAGGTATCTCCGGACTTACGCGTCTTTGGGTCCTTCCTGAGAAAGATCGAAGACTTGACGTGGGTTCAGGTACCACATGAACGTCTGCAGGACTTTGGTTCCCTGCAAGGAAAACAATGACCATAATAGGAAGAAATTTCCAAACATTAACTCTCATTCAGAAAATATCGATAAATCCTGCTATCTAAAATAACATCTAATTACAAACAGTACAGAGAAGTAGTTAAAATCATGGGATTCAGAGACAGTATACATTGCTTCAAAACCCAGCTTAGATGTTGATGAGCCTGGACAAGTTTCTTAAATCCATTAAGCTCGACCGCCTTCTCTGAAACATGGAGACAGAAAGCCTAGTTTACAGGTTGTTTTGAGGATTAAATGCAGTAACGCTTGAGCGGCATCCAGCACAGTGCCCGACAGGCAAAACACCTGCTGCCTTCAAGTCAGCTCTGGCTCCTGGCGCCCCCATGTGCACCAGAGTAGAACTGTGCTCCACAGGGTTTTCAGTGGCTGATTTTTCAGAAGGAGCTAACCAGACCTTTCTTCCAAGGCTACCTCTCGGTAGACTCGAACCTCCCACCTTTTGGATAGCAGTCAAGCACATTAACTGTTTGCACTATTCAGGGACTTTGCCTGACAGGCATTGGGTTAATGAACAGTACCTACTAGTTTTACCATCATCACTTAATATATGAAAATCCAGGTTGGGAGGTTATAAGTCAGCCTATATAACATTAATTTTCATCTTACTGTTCAGCTTACTATTGGTTTTGCATAATATGAAATATGGACAACATCAGCTAGGCATAATTTGATTGGACTAATTTATTTTTTTAACTGGAACAAAAGCATCACAGGCTTCCAGTTACTTATGATACATATGCCCTCCCCAGTTAGTGAGATCAAAGCTCATGTTGTCAGCTCTCAGTCTCCTTGCCTACACATCCTTGTCCAAGCCGAGCACTTTTCTCTCACATGAACATTGTGGGGGTATTTTAAGTAATGATGCCATTTATACAGATGGTCATCTTGACAGATACAAGGCAGTTTTAGTGGTCATTTCATAAAGTGCATTGAGGGAACAAGAAATAAAAGAAGGAGCTTTGGTATCAGGCAGTACACCAAGAGTTTTACAATAGACTAGGCTGCTTCATTTTAAATCGTTATCAGTCATAGCGATAACATTTGATCCGCTTGGCAGGATTAGCTGCTTGCAATTGTGGTTCGTTTATAGATACCATGGTCACTCCTTTCTAAAATATTCCTAAGTTTGTATATTAAATATGCTCTGTTTGTGAACCCCGGTGGTACAAGCGGTTTGCCATCATCTACTGAAAGAAAGGTTGGTGGTTTGAGCGCACCCAACGTCTCCATGGGAGAAAGGCCTGGCAATCCGCTTCTGTAAAGATTACAGCCAAGAAAACCCTATGGAGCCCAGTTCTACTCTATCACGAGGTTGCTATGAGTCAAAATCGACTCAGCAGCAACAGGTTAGGGGTTATTTTTTGGTTTTATTTAGGAGTCGTCCAACCCATTGCCGTCGAGTCAATTCCGACTCACAGCAACACTATCGGAAGAGTAGAACTGCCTCACAGGGTTTCCAAGGCTGTCGTCTTTACAGAAGCTGACTGCCACATCTTTCTCCCTGGGAGCAGCTGGTGGGTTCAAACCATCGACCTTTTGGTTAGCAGCAGAGAGCTTAACCACTGCATCACCGGGGCTTCTAGGAGTCCTCCTAGCAGAGTAGAAATTGCACAAGGTTTGAGTCAGAACTAACTTGGGTATTCTCACTGGGTGGTGAGCATTTGTAATCTTGCGGACACTGAGTCTACAGAATAGGAGGGCAATGTCTCCCTTCCAGGGTGATTACGAGAATTCAATGAGCCAATAATACCACTCATCTCGCATGGTATGTGGTACAAAACAGGCCTGTGTAAATGGCAGCCCCTTTCTTTTTTGCTCCTTGTTAAACTAGTCATTAAATTACACTTGAGGGTGTGAGGGATGAAGAGTAATTTATAATTATCACATGGTTACGCTCTGTGTTACAGAGGCTAATGTGGGTCTACTGCTTCACGTATCATCCTAACCTATCATTTAACAGTTCGGCTTTATCCTATGATGGCTATAATTTCAGGAATAACATTCTACCCTTCCTTATCACAACTAATCCTTCAGTTTGGCCAAATGACATATTTTGGTCCCTATTAAATTCAGACACAGATTTTAGGTAATAATACTGGCAAAATACTGGATCATTCTCTTTCTTTCCAGACCTGGCCTTGCAGTCAAGTCAGTTCGGGATTATCTCAAATAATCTTTTATTTTTAAGAGGTAACACAGAGTCATTTTAATGACCAACCAATTTATGAAACAGTTCCAACTGATATGCTAGAAAGTTCGTTGCTGGGTTTGGGATTCCTCCAGCAACGTGACTCATGTGTGCGAATCGCTCCTTTCCGCTTTGGCGACGGTGGAGCCGCATTTGAGTTTCAGCTTCTCCTATCCTGCGTACAGTACTTGGTAATTAACAACACCTTGCCAAAAAAAATGCAAAAGCACTGAGAGGTTGTTTCTCTTAACACAAAAATTCTCTAAAAGATCTGCGTGGCCACACAGTTTTGTTGTTGCTAATTTTCAAGTTGTGTGAGTGGGAACACGGAATCATCTCAGCGTAGCCTTTTGAGCACAAATGGTTAAACAGCTGACGACTAACCGAAAGAAAGGTTGGCAGTTTGAACCCACCCAGACGCACCGCAGAAGAAAGGCCTGGTGAACCGCTTCTGAGAGGTCACAGCCTTGAAAACCCTATGGAGCAGCTCCACTCTGCACACATGGGGTCGCTGTGAGTCGGAATTGACTCGACGGCAGCTGGTTTGGTTTTCGTTTGGATCCTTTCAGAGAAGGAGTATTGACATTAGGCTGGCAGGTTTCGCACAACTCCGGTGTTATTGTTAGCTGGCATCGAGTCGATTCGGACTCACAGTGACCCCACGTGACAGAGGAGAACTGCCCCATGGGGTTTTCTTAGCTGTAATCTTTATGATAGTAGATTGCCAGGTCTTTCTCCCCGGAAGCCGCTGGGTAGGTTCGAACTGTCGACCTTTCAGTTAGCAGCCAAGTGCTTAACTCTTGTGTCACCAGGGCTCCCTCTGTACAACTCTAGGAGGCGCCGTCTGCACTGTGGTTCATGGGACAGCACCCTCTGGATTTGTGCTGGATCCCTTGCCTGACCACACCGGGTTATCAGAGCTGACATTCAGGCATGATTTAATTACTTCTTTTAAAAAGCAATCTTTTTCCCGAGAGAAGAAGCATTCCCAAAACTCTGGGTGCCTCTTTTTGCCTGTCTCCCATCTTTCTCCTCCCCACTTCAACCTCCCCCCGAGCACTGTTATAATTCATTCCATAGGCTTATTGTGAATGTCATCCAGAGGGTGGGTAAACTGCGGGGAGCCAGTGCTGAGTTTTGCTGCTGTAAAATCCAATCTATAAAACGACTGTAGTTTCTGAATTAAAATGTTTAATTAAACTATGTAAGCTTGTTAGAAAAAAAAAAAAATTATCTCTTTTGCAAACTATGATGTTCATGAGTAAACACGATGAGTGTCTGGGAGAAAGCAAGGCATTGTTTGACCCATCTTGGTGGGTGGAGGATGAAGGTCTAACTCACCGAAACCAGTTGGTTCAACAACTCTGCCATTAACTCTAGGACAAGCTACTTGATGGAGGTAATCTGTTAGACAGCACTGGATGGTCTGATAAACCGGATTCCCCAGGCAGAGAGCCACTTCCTTCTCTCTCACTGGCAGGATTCAGTGGACTCAGTCATCTCTGCAGCCTGTCACTCACTAACAAGTCCCAAACACACTCATTCTATACGCCAAACGCAAAAGCTGCAAGTTTGGGGCAAGAGTCTAGTTTTCTCTAAGTGAGAAAACAGCGGAGAATTCCATCCATACACGCTCTGGAGCGGATTCTCATACAGGCTTTCGTCGATACAACACCTCCCTGACCGTGGAACATGGTCAGCTGTTGTGAGGACGGGTGTTCGTAAGGGCAGAGAAAACCATGTTCTTTCCAGTTCCAGGTGTTTTGGGACGAGGATGTGGAAGAAGAATATCACTTCCCAGAAAATGGGTCAATTGTTCTAGAGAAAAATGAACAGGATTCCTTCATGTACTTACTGTGGGTCAGGCAGAGTTTTAGGTGGGGGAAGGGGAGACAGAGAGACGGACAGACAGAGATCTTGCTATCAAGAGGAACTTCATAAAGAAAAGCACAGTGAAGATGATTCTGGGGTGGGAAGAAGCACTAAGAATGGGCCAGCTTAAACAGCACATCAGTCTTTGTCAACGCACTGCAGCCCTAGCAGAGGCTGAGCGTCACATCCTGGTATGTTACTGAGCAAGTCTTGGACATGTCAGGAGGGCATTACCTGGGCGATGGAAAGAACAATGCCGCAGACAGAGACAGGCCTGGGGAAAAGAAAAGTTAGTAGGAGGAAGATCTTAAAAAATAATTTTTTCCTACGGGCATGCCTGATCTATTCAATAAACATTTGTTAGAGTCCTACTATGTGCCAGGCATACTCGGAGGAGCTCAGAATCAACTGGAAGGAGACCAGTGCAAAATAAAATAACTCACGGAAGAAGGGGAGTGCTCTGACGGAGAAGCATAAGCGTCCCAAGGAGACACAATATGCCCAGGCCGGGCGACTGGACAAAGGCTGCCTAGACAGGATGCCCGAACTATCCAGACAGATGAGGACAGCTGGCCGTTTCTTCCCACACGGGGTAGAGGAAGAGGTTTCAGGGTAAAGGCACAAGAGGTGCAAAACAGGAAGACGTATCTTGGAAAAACAACATCCCGTTCAGTTTATGAACCAGGAGGCAGGCAGTGGTGGGACGTGGAATCGCAGGGGTGAGCTGGGGACGACGTCATGGGAGAATCAGACATGGTATGCCAAGAACCATCAGCTTTGTTCTGTAGGAAATGAGAGGCCACTGAAAGGTTTTAATCAGGTGAGTCAGACTGACATTGTTTAATGTACAGTAAAACCTGCAAAAGCCAGAACCTGTGTAAGGCGTAAACCTGTCAAG